CTCCTTTTCTAGAAGAGAGTTTCTAGCTTTGTTTTGACATTTACACATGTCGTGTTGTGATTGGCTTCTGATGTTGACACATGTCACGCTATGATTGGCTTCTGATGTCAACACGTGTCGCGTTGTGATTGACCTCTTGGTTGGAGGGAAACTCTTCTGGGTCCTTGACGGTATAACGTTGACCGGTGCTCAGTAGTTTATGGAATTGTCAAGTATGGTACAAACAGTGCTTCCCTAAGTTCCCGAGTGAGGGAAGCTCCTCGGTTGGGGACTTGCAAGATCCAAGCCGCTAAGTAATCACGAAATTTCTAAATACCGAAGTGTGGTATCGTCTTCACTTGCCTTATCTGTCTCATAGGTAGATGTGGCATCTTCTTTGGAAGTACTTTTCCTCCATCTAGGGGTGATATCTTTAACCGGTGGAGATGCACAAGGTAATATATCAATTTAACTTGAAGCTTACTTGTAGTTTCAGGCTTGGTCAAGCGCGATACAAACCATGTAGTAGGAGTCCCCCAAGTCGCCGAGCTAGGAGATTTGCCGAAAGAGGTGACAGACAAGGTAAGCAATCAGAGTTCCAAGCAATTAAAATAGGGGTTTTGTTTTAATTTAAATCTAGTTCTATGAAAATTTTAGGTAAAATATCTTGAAGGAAGGTGGAGAGTTGAAATGTTTGAAATAACCTTGAAACAAGTCAATTGAATTTCGAATGGCATGATCTAGTAATTTCTTCTGCATCCTCCTGTGTTTACTAATTCACATGAATTGAACTTAAATCAATGTGATTACTAAAATGCTCATGTTCTAGTAATATATTTTAGGGGCTTTTAGATTCAGGTCCAAAATCATAGAGTGTTTTTAGGAGTGAATTTAATTATCTAATTATATGTATTTATTTCTTTTATACTCATTTAATGTTTTCTAAAAATATTAAATCAATTAAAATCTTTTAATATTATGCATTTTCCAACTCCAAAATATCTAATTAATATCTTATAACAAAAAAACTAATATACTAACATAAATCTATCTGCAAAGCATTCTACCATAACTCAAGTAGCAAATTTATGAATGTATATTATACATATAAGTGAGATATGAAACCTAACTAAAAGGTAGAAAAAAACATAATATATCTACAAGCAAGACACATTAATATGTGATAGGTTGATTATGGAAAAAATCTATCATATAGGTAGACAAATACAATTAAACTGTAATATAGGTTGATTATAAAAATTAAAATAAAATCTATAAATAGGATAAAGCAAGAGGAAGAACAAGAAATAACAAAAAAATAAATAAAAAGAAATAATCAAAGAGATAATTAGGAAGAAATTTGATTTTTACAATAAAATTTTTCATTGAAGAGATAATTATTGATAATAAAATAATTAAATTTAAGGAATTGGACTTATTTTAATAAATTGGATTATTCCTACTATTGACTCAAAAAATTGGACTTGTTTCAAATTTCCCCTATATTTTATATGCTGATTATTTATTTATTTTTAATAAAACTTTATGAAAAAACTTTGATTCTTTGATTTTTTTTGTTTTTGTACTTTTTTTTTTTTGAGAGAACAAATTTGGGTGTTGGGTTAATGCAAATGGTAACCGTAAATTTTCAGAAATAAGTGGGGTATAATGGGAAGGAAAAATCCATTTCGATTTCTCGAATAACCCAGAATTCAGTTACCACCAAATTAAAAGGAATCTCATTCCTCCAAATTTTGGAGTTGGATTCCAAAATTTATGTGAGTCACACCATTTTTTTATTCAGCTTTTTTTTATTAAGTTTATCTTAAACGTGTCATAATAGTGTTTTATATATTTCCACATTCTCTCTCATATTGCTAGTTTTGGAAAGTGACGAGAATACGCACAGGCCAGATAAAAGAATAGGGTGTGCTATCCACACACCCATTTTTACTTCTCTCACACTTCTTGTTAATTTCTGTAATTTGATATTCTTTAATTCATCCGATCCGATGACCGAAAATTAAAAGGATGTGAAAGAAGTAAAAAAAGGTTGTGTGGATATCACACCTCACACACCAAAGAATATAATCATCACACGATAAAGAGAACACAATCTTACAAAACGAAGGGAATATTTGTGCTGTACATGGTCACCTCCAAGAACATTAAATAATTATTCGGAAAAAGAAAAACCATACCTAATCTATGAATATCACCATTTTTACTGATAAAAAATAATAGTTCAATTCGAGATAATCAAATGCAACAAACGCATCCTAAATTGATTCATTAGATTTTATTTTTCCTTTTAAGTTTTGTTACGTGTGGCATTTTTTTATTTGGTTGTATTCTGGGCTTGTCAGCATATCTTGCCCAGTATGATTTTGTTTCTTAGGCTTGCATGAAGCTCAACACGTAAACCCGTCAACACAACCACTTAGCAATGGGTTTGGTGGATTAGTTTACCTATTTTCTTGAGTGAAAATGGTTTGTAGAAATGTCTACCTGAGCCTAGCTGGCCGGCTAGCGGGTTGAGGATCAATCCGAACCGAATCACATCCACCCATATGTCCAACCGTGATTAACACGCAGTAATCAAATTAAATAAAAGAAAAATAAAACATACAAGAGATTCGACATTCCTCAAATAAGACAGGCTTGCTGTCGTTATTGGCCAAATATATATATGCACGCAACTTTTTTTACGTAACGGCCCTACGCGAGCGAGACATACAGAGCTTTTCTCCTTTCTACATTCGTCCATGCATAAGGCATTTTAACTACAATGACACTTTTGTTCGCATTCTACATGCATTAGCTTTATATGCCCATAATATGTATATAATATTTTTGTTTTGCCATAAGAAAATAAGAGAATGAAATGCTGTCCTTACTACATTTTTCGCACTATATTTTTATTAGAGATGTGCAAATGTAATATGAAAATGTAGTAGCAGTAGCATTTTTGCAAGGGGAGATGAGAACTTTAGAGCGTAGATTTTTTTTTTTTAACAAGCTATATTATCTACATTAAATAGATGAGGAAATAAACTAAGAATCTCAATAAGCAAGTCCACTCTTTTCTTTATTTTTATTTAAAATAAACATATCGCTTTTATTAAAAAATCTCTGTGATATTAATTGTTCAAGATTTATAACATATATCAATCCGAACCGAATCATGTCCACCCATCTGTCCAACCGTGATTAACACGCAGCAATCAAATTAAATTAAAGAAAAAGAAAACATACAAGAGATTTCACATTCCTCAAATAAGACGGACTTGCTGTCATTATTGCCCAAATATATATATGCACGCAACTTTTTTAACATAACGGCCCTACGCGAGACATACAAAGCTTTTCTCCTTTTTACATTTGTGCATGCATAAGACATTTTAACTTCAATGACACTTTGTTCGCATTCTACATGCATTAGCTTATATGCCCATAATATTTATATAATTTTTTTTTCTTTTTTTTGTTTTGCCATAAGAAAATAAGAGAATGAAATGATGTTGTAGACATCGAAATTTCGGTAAATAAATGTTGACCGATAAATCAAAGTTTCAACGCTCATGTATTACATAAATTTTACACGTAGCGTATGTCTAAACAAAAAATCGAAATAAGTTGGCAAAGTCATCAAACAGGACACGTGTCAACACCTGGCAGAAACGACTTATTTCATCTGGAATATTATATTCAAAATTAGGCCTTGGAAATTTCTATAAATAGAAGGCTAATTCATTCATTTGGAGGGACCAATTCATATTACACCTTGAAGCTCTGAAGCTCTGAAGCTCTGAAACTCCGAAGCTCTCAAGCATCCAGGTTCCCGAAGAATCAAGAAAGCCTTCTTCGTTCTTCGTTCTTCAAGATCAAGCCCCGACGGCCTTTGAAGAAAGTGTTCTTCGTTCATCGTTCTTCTAAGATCAAGCCCTAACGGCCCTTTGGATCAACAATCATCCACCAATTCAAGATCAAGCCCCGACAGCCCTTGGATCAACCATCCACCAATTCAAGATCAAGCCCCGACGGCCCTTGAAGAAAGCACCATCGTTCATCATCCGTTCATCCAAGATCAAGCCCCAACAGCCCTTTGGATCAACAACGTCAACAAATCCACACATCCAACCGTTCTTCAAGATCAAGCCCAAAAGCCCTTGAAGATCCGTTCATCACTGTTCTTCAAGATCAAGCCCAAAAGCCATTGGAGATCCGTTCATCACTGTTCTTCAAAGATCAAGCCCAAAAGCCCCTTTGAAGATCCGCTCAAATCCACCTTCAAGATCAAGTCCATGGCCCTTGAAGAACGTTCATCCTTAGATCAAGCCCAACGGCCCTTTGGATCAATCACACATCCACAAATACACACCTTACGGAGATCGAATCAGAGGATCAAAATAGAGAGAGATTGTAACCCAAAATCATCAAATACAAATATTTGTTTGTGCACGTTGTTCTTGTCTCTTTCGTTTCAGGAAATTTCCGTGTTCACAGATGTACTTACTACATTTTTCATATTACATTTATACCACATTTTTATTAGAGATGTTGTACAAATGTAATATGAACTTTAGAGCGTAGTTTTTTTTTTTTTCTCTTTTGAACAAGCTATATTATCAACACTAAGCGGGTGAGAAAATAGACTAAGTCTCTCAATAAGCAAGTCCACTCTTTTCTTCATTTTTATTTAAAATAAACATATCACTTTTATTAAAAAAATCTCTGTGATATTAGTTGTCCAGGATTTATAACATATATCATATATGATATAGCTGCTTGTTTTTTTTCCAGTTTAAGAAAAAATTGAGAAATTTAACATATTTATTACAGGAGCTGTAGCTGTAGGAACGGAGACAAAACGGAAATAAAAAGATCCTGCGGTCAAACTCCGACACCCACACCCCACGCACATTTCTAATTCAGTTAAATACAATAATTTAATGCTAATCTCCAGCTTAATTAATCTAAATGGATTCCAATCACGAGCAGCCCTTCCTTCCTTCTAGAATATTTGAAAATAAACGAGTAGGAGAAAAGAAGAAGAGGAAGAAGGACAAGGACTTTTGTAACATTATTTGAATTTTGATTATGTTTGCTGTCGCCACCCCTTACGACTTGTTCTTCTTCCACATTTCTTGTATTAGCCCGCTTCCTCCTTCCTCCTCAGACTCCGTAATGCCTCTCCCTTTGACCTTTTACATTTCTTTATCCTCCATTTCCAATTCCATCGCACCTTTCCTTCGACCGCCATTGTTGTTGTCTGCAATTCCTCTCTTTCCTCTGATATGTTAACCCACTAAGGTCAACCCAAACAGTCTCTCTCTCTCTCTCTCTCGCCTAACTTTCTGTATTAATTTGGATGGACAGTTCTTACATGTTTAGCTGACTCTACTGGTTATTCACTCGCTTTCTTTACTGGGATCGCTTGTTTTCGAGATTTCGTTGATGTTCTTGTGAAGTATTGCGACTTTGGTCGGATTCGGTATCTGGGTGTTTCGGGGATATTGTTGACTGAATGCTGGTCGGAGAGGCTTCTGTGATCTGAATCTTGTTCGGATCATGACCTCGAAGCGACCTCTTCTGATCCCATCTCCAAGAACCCCCAATACCCAACACCTCCCTGCTCTACCCGTCTATTCGGATATCGCAAATCCCACTTCCGGTGGCACTGGATCGTTTTCCGGCATGGATTCCAGAAACCCCGCTGCAGCTGACAATTCCATCAACGTTGAACCCCCGACCTTCAAGTCTTCCTCCCAAAGAAGCGTTTCTTCCCTTCAATCCAAGGCTTCCGGCAACAATTCTGTTCGGGAAAGCGCTGACAATTCCATCAACGTTGAACCCCCCACCTTCAAATCTTCCTCCCAAAGAAGCGTTTCTTCCTCCCGAAGAAGCGCTTCTTCCCTTCAATCCAAGGCTTCCAGCAACAATTCTGTTCGGGAAAGCGCTGACAATTCCATCAACGTTGAACCCCCCACCTTCAAATCTTCCTCCCAAAGAAGCGTTTCTTCCCTTCAATCCAAGGCTTCCGGCAACAATTCTGTTCGGGAAAGCGTTTCTTCCCTTCAATCCAAGGCTTCCGGCAACAATTCTGTTCGGGAAAGCGTTTCTTCCCTTCAATCCAAGAATTCCGGCAATAATTCTGTTCGGGAAGTGAGTTTCGGCGATCTCGAATCGAAGCCAGTGCGGTATGGATCGAGAGGAGCTGATTCGGAAGCGCTCAGCTTGTCCCAGAAGGAGCTGAACGAGGAGGATGTAAGGGTTGTTTATATAGATGATCTTGCTAAGACAAATGAGAGGTTTGAGTTTTCTGGTAATTCAATTAGGACGGCAAAGTACTCAGTTTTTACTTTTTTGCCTAGAAATTTGTTTGAACAGTTTCATAGGGTAGCGTACGTATATTTTCTTGTGATTGCTGTGCTCAATCAGCTCCCCCAGCTGGCGGTTTTTGGCCGTGGAGTTTCCATATTGCCACTGGCATTTGTGTTGCTTGTTACTGCTGTTAAGGATGGCTTCGAGGACTATAGGCGGCATCGGTCTGATAGAATTGAGAACAATCGTCTGGCATCAGTTTTGGTTGGTAATCAGTTCCAGTGGAAAAAGTGGAAGGATGTTCGAGTTGGTGAAATCATCAAAATTCAAGCTAGTGAAGCTATACCTTGTGATATGGTACTGCTTTCGACGAGTGATCCAACTGGGGTTGCTTATGTGCAGACAATCAATTTGGATGGGGAATCAAATTTGAAGACGCGGTATGCAAAACAAGAAACCCTCTCCAAGATGCCTGATAAGGAGAAGATTACAGGGTTGATTAAGTGTGAAAATCCCAACAGGAACATATACGGATTTCATGCATTCATGGAAATTGATGGGAAGAGATTGTCACTGGGACCCTCTAACATTATACTTCGAGGGTGTGAGCTTAAGAATACTCATTGGGTAATTGGAGTTGCTGTATATGCCGGTCGTGAGACCAAAGTTATGCTCAATAGCTCTGGAGCCCCATCCAAGAGGAGTCGCCTTGAGACCCGTATGAACTTTGAGATCATTTTACTCTCCGGGTTTCTTGTCGCTTTGTGTACAGTTGTCTCATTCTGTGCTGCGGTTTGGTTGAGACGCCACAATGATGAGTTGGATGACATACTTTTCTACAGGAAGAAGGACTACTCTGAAGAGAAAGTGGACGATTATAACTATTATGGATGGGGTTTGGAGATTCTTTTCACGTTCCTTATGTCTGTCATTGTGTTCCAGATCATGATCCCCATCTCATTGTACATTTCTATGGAGCTTGTCCGGGTGGGTCAGGCTTACTTCATGATCAGGGATGGTCAAATGTATGATGAGGCCTCTGATTCAAGATTTCAGTGCAGAGCTTTGAATATCAATGAAGATTTAGGACAAATTAAGTATGTATTCTCAGACAAAACTGGTACGCTGACAGAGAATAAAATGGAATTTCAATGTGCAAGCATTTGGGGAGTAGATTATAATGGCGGGAGAAGTAGTCCGGAGCAAGTGGGGTACTCTGTCGAAGGTAATAAATGTTTTTCTTTTGATTATATTTTCTTCTGATTAGTACTTCCAATTGTTTTACCAGTCTGCAAATTCTTATTTTTCTTGTTCGTATCAGTCAATGGGAAGATTTTGAGGCCAAAGATGAAGGTGAAGGCTGACCCAGATCTTCAGCAATTACTCAGAAGTGGAAAGGACACAAATGAAGGCAAACATGTGTACGAGTTCTTCCTTGCATTGGCAGCTTGTAATACCATTGTGCCTCTTGTTGTAGACACGTCTGATCCAAATGGGGGATTATTAGATTACCAAGGGGAGTCTCCAGATGAACAAGCATTGGTTTATGCTGCTGCTGCCTATGGTTTTATGCTTATTGAACGAACCTCTGGTCATATAGTTATCGATATCCAAGGGGATAGGCAAAGGTAATTTGACAATGTCTTTAATTAATTTATTTATTGATACTTCTGACTTTGAGTAATCTTGCTTGTGTAATCCCTATGTTACAATCTAGTGATATTAATACTGTACTTCCTTTTGAGAAATAAAGATTTTTCATTTCTCGTCCATAACTTACCAATCCTGGGCATTGCAGGTTCAACGTCTTGGGTTTGCATGAGTTTGATAGTGATCGGAAGAGAATGTCGGTTATATTGGGGTGCCCTGATAAGACCATCAAAGTCTTTGTAAAAGGTGCTGACACAACCATGTTCAGTGTAATAGACAAACGATTGAAATTGGATATAATACGAGCAACAGAAGCCCATATTCATGCTTACTCCTCTTTGGGTTTGAGAACACTTGTTGTGGGCATGAGAGAACTGAGTGCTACAGAATTCGAGCAGTGGCACTCATCTTTTGAGGAAGCAAGCACTGCTTTAATTGGTAGGGCTGCTCTACTTCGCAAGGTTGCTGGCAACATAGAAAACAATCTCATTATACTAGGTGCCTCTGGCATTGAAGATAAACTCCAACTGGGGGTGCCTGAAGCGATAGACTCTCTAAGAACAGCAGGGGTTCAGGTATGGGTTTTGACAGGGGACAAGCAAGAAACTGCCATATCAATCGGCTACTCATCAAAGCTTCTAACAAGAAGAATGACACAGATTGTAATTAACAGTAGTTCTAGGGATTCATGTCGACGGAGTTTAGAGGATGCCATACTAATGTCTAGGAAGCTCATGACGGTGTCTGCAGATACACAAACCGACAGAGGAAGCTCTGGACATGGTGGAACTCAAGTAGCTTTAATCATTGATGGTACCAGCCTTGTGTATATTCTTGACAGTGAACTTGAGGAAAAGGTAATTGCTTTTAGACTTACCTATTTAGTTTCCTAATTATCTAGACAATTCCATGTGCCTTTTTTTTATTGTGAGATGTTGTCTTATATGCTGGTCTAAAATATTCATACCGCAGCTCTTTGAATTAGCAAGTTACTGTACTGTGGTGCTTTGTTGCCGAGTGGCTCCATTGCAAAAAGCTGGAATTGTAGCCCTTGTGAAGAACAGGACGGCTGATATGACACTTGCCATTGGGGATGGTAAACACTATTCTGTTTATTTCACTTGTGTAGATATGTTTCCAATACTAGAATCAGTATCTTATGCCCACTCTCATAAACATTTGGTGTTGACAGTAGGAAGTTCTTTTGTTATATTGATAGGTGCTAATGACGTTTCAATGATCCAAATGGCTGATGTGGGAGTTGGCATCAGTGGCCAAGAAGGTCGGCAAGCTGTCATGTCATCAGATTTTGCAATGGGACAGTTCAGATTCTTAGTTCCCCTTTTATTAATACATGGGCATTGGAATTACCAGCGGATGGGCTATATGATATTATACAATTTCTACAGGAATGCAGTGTTTGTTCTTATTTTGTTTTGGTGAGTAATTCTTCATCGGATAAATTCTCAGTTACACTCTGTGCTTGTTCGGCAGGTTTCAATTGTTTTCCTTGAGCCTGAACTGTCTTGGACTACTTTGGTTTTCTTTTAAAAGTAAAAAAAATTAAAGAAACAAAATACTAGGGAGAGGATTATTCATGGTTGTCTATTTCTGAAATCAGTGTCATTGAGAGGAAAAATCTCTGGCTTCCATTATAATTCATCATCTAATTTCAAGCTAGAAATGTTGTGGAAATGACGTTTGAACTTGATGCTAAAAGTTTGAAGCCAGTCAGATTCAAAGTAGGTCTCTATGTCCGGAGTGTAATGTGTTACAAATTATAATTGACGTTTAGATCATGCTGTGAGTTTTATTTTATTTTTTTTCCAAAGGGAGGAGTGAATGGAGCCGACCAGTAAAGGAAAATAAAAGAGAGAAGAATCCGTATGAAGTCTTGCTTATTGTTGTAGCTGATTATATTTTGTGGTCTGTGTAGGTACGTGCTCTTCACTTCTTTTACTTTGACAACTGCAATCACCGACTGGAGCAGCATGTTGTATTCTATAATCTACACGGCGGTACCTACAATTGTTGTTGGGATTCTTGACAAGGACTTAAGTAGAAGGACCCTTCTAGATTATCCTCAGCTATACGGAGCTGGTCAGAGACAAGAATGCTACAACTCAAAATTATTTTGGTTAACGGTTGTTGACACATTGTGGCAAAGTCTGGCTGTCTTCTTTATCCCTCTCTTTGCATATTGGGGTAGCAGCATTGATACATCAAGTATAGGGGATCTTTGGACGCTTGCAGTGGTAATTTTGGTTAATTTGCATTTGGCTATGGATGTTATCCGGTGGAATTGGATTACACATGCAGCCATTTGGGGATCTATAATTGCGACTTGGATTTGTGTCTTTGTCATCGATGCTATACCTTCACTGGTTGGATACTGGTATGCCCTCTAATCTTGTAGTATTGCGTGTATATCTTTATTTTTGCACAAACATAATTACATCTAGCTTGTTTAAACTACGACACCCTATAAGAAGTAGCGGCAAGCATTTATGTTGCATTTCATGTCATGCAATGATCAAAGATTGAATATCATGATATTAGGTCCCCTCGAACTCGTTGACTGCTTATCCAATTAGTGTAAATCCAATAACTCACCATACCGAGGCAAATAAAGAACACAAAACTGGATGTTGAGTTAGTTGTCTCATGATTGCTTACTATTTTCAACAAATAATTAAGTGCAAGTGTTTCTTTGCATGGGAGGCACAGTATATTTATCCGAAATAATAATGTAGGATAACTTCATGCTCATGGTAGAACATGACATTACTTATGAATGCTAACGAGTATATTGTGCTTCGAGAAGCTCTACACATGCGTTTCTGAAGTTTTCTATTATAGATGTCACTTGCATTTGTATATGCTAATCTTTGCAACTCCAATATAATTTGACAGGGCCATTTTTCAAGTCGTAAAGACTGCATCGTTTTGGTTATGTTTGTTGGCAATCATCATAGCCGCAATGGCTCCACGCTTTGTTGTAAAGTTTTTGTATCAGTACTATAGACCTAGTGATGTTCAGATTGCAAGAGAATTTGAGAGGTTTGGCAATCCAAGCGCGTCAAGGCCTGCACAAATAGAAATGAACGCGATCTTGGACACGCCGAGGAGATGAGAAGGTGATGTTACTGCTTTCGGCATCTCTTCTCATTTTTTCTTTGTAAAAATGTTATTCTTTAGGCTGCTTCAGAGCATCTCTCTCTAAGTTGCCTCATTGTCCATTGTTTGTTTGCTATCCAAGGGATAGGGTTTGTAAGTTTGTAGTGCTAGGCTTATATTTTGTGTTCCTATGCTGTTTTGTTGTACCTCAGAAGATGCATTCGGTGTAATTAGCCTTGTCTAAAGGAGAAAAGAATTAGACAAAAAAAGAAAGAAAGATATCTCTATGGTCATGTTGAAAAGGAAATGTCTGTAAATTCTGCCATGTTGATAAATACTAAGATGTCTTTATGGATCAACAGTCAACACAACCACCTTGTACGTGTTGTAAGAACTGTGGCTTGCTTTGAGGTCATAGTTCATGAAGTCTGGTTGCAAAATTTTATCTCAGGACTTGGTATTTATGGTTTATTACCAAGCCGAGGAGAATTTATGGTTGTGTCGGAATTGTCACTTTCTCTAATGCTGGGGTATTGTAAGAATGCTAAACATAACGGAAAGAAAATACTTTTTTTCAAAAATGCTAAGAAAACTCTGAAAAGTGGAACTCTCCGTCACCTCATGGTTTTGACATAATTCTCGTGCCAATATTATAAAATATTGTGCCAAAAACATAAGGTGGCGGATAGTCTATGGAGATTGAAGAGTTCTACTTTGAGAGTCTTCTTAGCATTTCTCTACCTTGTTATTATAAAGAGAGTTGGAAACAATGAGTGTATTATCGTGTCAATATTATAAAATATTATATCAAAAACATAAGGTGACGGACAGTCTATGGAGATTGAAGAGTTCTACTTTGAAAGTCTCCTTAGCATTTCTCTACCTTGTTATTATAAAGAGAGTTGGAAACAATGAGTGTCTAGATGACAAAACTTATGCTTACAATCGCATTAAGAATTAAATTATGACTGAAGACAAAAATGAAATATTTTGAAAGGGTTGTGGTTATAAGGGGTTTTTTTAACTTTAGTCCTTCAAAAATATAGAAATTTGATAAAAACCTAGTGTTAATTATAAATTGATTATATTCCCTTGATGTGTCTTTAATTCAAATTAATTAATGTGTTTTTTATTCAATGTCTCTCATTAAATATTTTAATTAATTTTTTTACCAAATTTTATTTATTTATAATTTATTAGTTTTATTTAGCATTCTTCAAACTTGAAATACTCAATTAATGTAACTAAATGTTAGTATTGAAATGTATTATTGAATGAATGTACCAAAATTTAGTACCAAATGTATGCACTGAAATGTATTATATCGAATTAATGTACCTAAATATGTGTACCGAAATGTATTATATTAAATTAATGTACCTAAATATTTGTATTGAAATGTATGTACCGAAATTTGTGTACCTAAATATATGCACCGAAATGTATTATTATGAATTTAATGTACCTAAATGAAGAAGAAAAAGTACATCGAAATATATTGTATAACAAAAATTAGTTTATCTAATGTTTACAACAAAATATATTACGATGAATGAAATAAAAATTAGAATTATAATGAAATATATTTGATACATTAAAATTAGGAAGAAAAATAGAAATTATTAAAACATCAAAATATAATTAATAAATGAGGTGATTAATGTGCCAAGGGACTAAAATAAGATTTTAATCTTACTCTTGGTTTTAGTCTAAAAGTCATATTTGCTAAGAATTAAAATGAAGTTTCCTATGGTTATAATCATGACAGTACTAATGATTGTGCATGCTGCATAATGTTTAGATTTTAAGTTAACACCCTGAATTTGTTACATCCCACATCGACCAGGGAAGTGGATCATGTAAGCCTTATATGTATATTCTTATCTCTATCTAGTACGAGGTCTTTTGGGAGCTCACTAGCTTCGGATTTCTTGGAAACTTCCTGGGATGTGGTGGGGGCCCGAGTCGGAATATGACAAAATTCATTAATTGGTGATGTATATGATATTTTCTATTTTTCAATATATGTATACAGGTATGAGTTTGGATGTATGATGACAGGAATAGTCTTTAACAAAGACATTATTGGACCCTTGTATTTACTTATATCACTAATTGACCGTCTTAAGTGATTTGTTGATGTTGTGATACCTGAAAGAGATTATGTCGTGTATAGATTTAAAACCACCATGATTCGCATCAGTGAATTATTTAAAATTGGTATCTATGTTGATCATTTGATTATGAAAGTGCTTTCAAATATAATGTACCCTGAATATTAATTTATTAAATCATTAAGCATATGTGTTATATAGGCAAAGTGGTTCAAAATATTAAGTTTACAATATGTTTTCCGAAGTTGCCCTATTCAACCAGGTAGACGTGATTGTGAGAAATGGAGATAGCATAAACAAGTGAAGGGACTAATATGTGCATCAACTAATAGTCTAAATAGTAGCTTTTGGTGCAGTATTAAATAAAGACCGACTATTAATATCGAGATTAATACTATATCAGACGACTGATGATATAATAAAAGATTGATAGATAAGCCGAAAAAAGGTAAGTCCAAATAGATTAAAGAAAAAAACATAAAATAAAAAGAGAAAAAAATCAGAAAGAGGAAAAAAAATATAAACCTAATATGAGCCATAGAAATTTAATGGCTGCCTGCCATGAGAATTGAGCAGGGCTTTCGTGACTTGTGAGATGTAGAGAGAGAGACTGAAGAGAGAATCCGATAAAAAGAGAGAGAGGGAGGGAAGAGGAAAGAGAAATAAAAAAGACGAAGCGGTGCGAATCGGACTAATAATACATAATTTTGGGTGTATTTAAGCGGCCGTATGTGGAGTATCAAAATGGTGAGGCTGGATAATATAGTTCAGGTACTATTTAATACATCAGGGTTCCAAATATTCGACTTTATTAGTCCAAAGTGATGTGATCTCAAACGAATTATTATTGTAAAATTATGAGAATGAATGCTCATAATACTGTAATTGTTGTTATATGATGTTTTCAAAAAGATAATAGTGGTGTAATTGTTGTTGTGTGAAGAGTGAAGTTTTCAAAAAGAGCAATCATTTCACTTTTGGTTTGTCACGGATGTGGCTCTCTATAAAGAGCACTCCGTGTGTGATTACAATACACAACAAAGAAAAGAAGTGAAAACAATAATATTAGTATTCCTCCATTCCTCTTTTTCCTACAATCTTTTTGTGTTATAATTATGAAACTAAATAGTATGATATTTTGCACCCGCTTCTCTCATGTCCCTAGCAAATGTTATCTCTCTAACATTTGCCTATTTACAACAATTATTTGATTTTAATACAAATTTTAGTTGAAAATGTGGTGGCAAATTATAAACGGTATAAAAAAAATTAAAAATCATAGTTGAAAATATAACCTCAAACAAATTATTTGGTTTTAAGCCAAAATAATGTATCCCGCCACCGGTCACCGCGCCTTCTTTTGAAACTCCCTCACTCTCTCCCTCTCCCCCTCTCTCTCTCTCCGTCTCTCCCCTGTTAGAGAGACAACCCTGAAATCTCAGTTGCCGTAGCATCGACCACCAAAGGAAACGGTACGTCTCCAGGCGCCTCACTAGCATTTCTAGGGTTTCATTTCAGCAGAGCGTCTTTGGATTAGTGCAATTTTCAAGGTATAAATTTTCCCCTTCTCATCCCACTTCCGGCAATCCCAAATTTGCCATATTTTCCTTGTTCTTCAACCACTTTGTCCTTTTGGTAGAAAGCCCGGATTCATTCAATTCGCAGCAGATTTTGGGGCGAAGAAGCTCCATTGATCCCGAATACGCAAATGTGTTGGAGCAATGAATAGGGCATCGCATATGAGGCAAGAGTAAGATGAACAAAGACACAGCATTTTTACTTTTCATTTTCCGGATTGCTTGTTATTTATTCGGAATTCGGGTATGTGCAGTCATCCCAATCTGGGTCAAGATTTCTTCGCCCAGACGCCTTTTAAAGCTAATTTGTTGGAACATGTCAATGCACTTAATAATTTCTCGTGCCCGCATAACATTCTGAGCTCAAATTTCATTTTCTCCTTACCAACACAAAAACCTCATGCCGAAGAGGCAATGGGTTCCGGGTATGTTGCGGTTTTACGTGTTTTGTTTATTTTTTGTTGGGTTTTTTCCTACTGTTATTTCATTTTAGCTTGATGATTACTTGTTATTTGGTGACAACTTGACACCAGTTTTGTATTTGGTGATTGTGGTCGTTTGGTTGGGTAAAATATAGCTTGTGTTTGTGTTAGCTGCAGGATTTATTGTTTGTTTCCGCTAATTCTAAGTTTCATCTACCTTAGTAATTAGGGCTGGTTTTGAGATTTTAGGGGTATGTGTCCCTACATAAGAGAACCCCGACATAGCGAAGCTAATTTATATGTCTATAGTTGTATTAATAAGGTATCTAAAATTTCAAATCAACAGTAATCATGAAAATAAAACACAATTTAGAGCAAAGCCAGCAGAACCAAATTGAAAAAACATAAAAGTGATTCCTCTTAATACAGATGGAGACCATTATTTCTCTTATTCATTTACAAATCCTAAAAAGTTTCCCTGAGATGAAATCATTTGACACAAACCAAGGTGGTATATATATACATGATATCATCATTTAGGGACCCTTTAAGATCGGGGCCCTGTGCAAGGGCACCTATTGTACGTGGCCAAAGCAGCAATTGTTCGTGATATATATATATATAATACATCATTTTAAGAATGGATGCCTTTGTGAATTCCATTTTTTGTTTTCCTCGAATCCAATAATTGATGGCTGTTGGATACTCCTCGTTCTTGATGGTAGACATGGATTTTTATACAACTAATAATACTATTATCTCAAAGCATTTAACCTGGTGTATATCTTGAGTCAATTGGGAGTTTTTTTCCTTCTAACAAAGGTTCTCTTTATGCTTTTAGCTCAATGGCTTGTCCAATTCAGAATACTGAAAGATTACAGAGTGCACAAGTTCAAAAGGTAACCATGTTGGATGAGGGGTAGTCAATCTCATTTGTCTTTTTAACCTGGTTATTTGGTTTTTTTCAACATTTTTGACAAACTAGGGTTCTACCAGCCCTTTCCTGTCAAAGTTTTCTGATTTGGCTTTTGCTTCTGAATGGGAAAATTTTGGCAGGCTTGGCATGCTCTTTCCAATCTTCAGATTTCTTGTAGGAACTACACAAAACCTGGAAAAACTCTTCTAGTTAAGGATGTTAATGCGGAGTGTCGTCGTGATGTTGGAACAACAACTTTGCCAAGCTCATGCAACATTGATAAGAGTCGCGCACATATGCCAACACATCAATACATTAATGGAACTAATACCAGGAACAGTGAAGCAGCAATTTGCTCGGGCAATCCGTTTCCGTCAAGTAATGTTAATGTTGCGGATGCAGGGAAAAATCTTGGACGGCAAAGTCAGTTCAGAGCAACAATCGTCAACAGTTCTGATGATCGGGCTTTGGATGGATCTCTTGGCAACAATAGTGTTCATAACAGCCAAGGGAAAGACTCTGCAAAAGTTTTTGTTAATGACCTGGACGACGATGATGATGACATAATTGAGGTAATTCATATCACTGTTTTAGTTCATTGTGGTTTAGTTGTTGCTTATTTAATCTGGCTATGTTTGTAAATATCTGTTGAATAAGGCTACTACTGTCAAGATCTAGATGAAATTTCACTAACTAGCATGTGGTTGTTACAGTTCTACTTAAGTGCTATTTTGTATGGTGACTTAATTGCTACTAGTCAATCCATGTTGCTGGTTATGTATCATTTGGATTACTCGTGTGTAAAATTTAAACATTGTTTTATGTTTCTATTTTCCCGAAGGCTTAAGTTGTGGTGTCTTTGTTCATGCAAATGTTGATTTCACTGAACTCATTTACTTTGGTTCAGAATATTGATGTTGACCAGATAGTGGAACAGTACCAATCAAGTTGCACACCTCAACCATCAATTTCCAAACTTCCACCCATTGCTCCCTTTATAGATAAAGATAATATTGCAGGACAAGATGCTACTAGTTTGCCACCGGAATTGTGTTCAAATTGCAGTCATGGGTTTAAGGTATGCTTATCATCTATATTCTGCTTTTTGTGGCTCCATCTAATTATGTGGACAGCTTAAGGTGCCTAATTCCTGAATGTGATACAGATAGGACTTTGCCCAGAAGCTGCAAGTCATTTGCAGGAAATGAAGGATACCCTAATTATCATATCAAATGAACTGCTTGATGATGTCAATGACCTCAGTCCAGAACAAATAAAAAAGCTTCGCCAAGATAGGTTTACATACCACCCCCTTTCATCTTGATTTGATTTTCTATGCGAGAGTCAAGGTATATCTATGTTGAGGGAATTGTGGATAACAATAAAAAAGTGAAAGAAAAGAACTGGCGGAAAAAAGCTCTGGTTCTCTACAAGTCATGTAGTATGCAACAAAGCTTCAGACTGTTACTTTTGGATTTTTGGTTCACATTTATTATTATTTTGTTATATTTTACAAAGTCATAAAGGAAAACAGTGTATTCCCATTGTTAGGTTACAGCTAAATAAGCAGATTCAGCAGCTTGAGAGATATCTTTGTAACAACTCATTGGACGAAGAAAGGCGAAAGTCACATTTTTCTGCATCAACAGCAACTCCCAGGCCTTTCCAATGTGAAACACCTCAAGCAGCTGCATTCAGGACTGATCCCATGAGATTTGATTCACAGGTTCATCCACATAATGAGTCTGGAGGATATGACAGATGTAATTTATCATCAGTTTCATTCTCTTCTGTTGATAGGCTTGATTTCTCATCTTGTCCTGTTGAGAGGGAACCATACATTTCAAAGTTTGTTGAAGTTAACTACATTGAAGGTTCTAAGGACAAAAAATGGAGTAGTGATAATTTTCCATGGACCAAAAAGCTGGAGGTGCTAATCTAGATCGTTCTCATAGTTCATATTAGTATTATCTTTCATTATTATTTTGTAATTGTTGTCCTACTGCTACCACTTTCAGGATGGTAACAAGAAAGTGTTTGGAAATCACTCTTTCCGGCTCAACCAAAGAGAGGTCATTAATGCTACGATGAGTGGCTATGATGTTTTTGTTTTAATGCCAACTGGAGGGGGTAAGAGCTTGACATATCAGGTAAAAGAATTATTTTTTGGAACCTCTTACGAGATACAGTCATTTCTGTTTAAGGTTTACCCTAGAAACTGTTCACTTAGGAGCAGTTCTATTGTTTGGTCATCTTAAGTCTGTAGTATTTATTTGTATGGTCATGCTTGGTTTACTGGTTCAGTTTCTTTACCTCAAGCTCTTCAACTGTTGTATCATCCATCATGTAGGCCAAATACCTTGCATCTCCATCATTTTTTCCCTGTAGAGTAGTCTCATTCTTTACGGTAAAGTAGACATTAGACTGTCTAGACTAAAGGGTTTACTTGCGTTTATGTACCTTGTAGCTCCCTGCGCTAATTTGTCCGGGAATAACATTGGTTATTTCTCCCCTTGTGTCACTTATTCAAGATCAAATAATGCATTTATTACAGGTAATGTTTCTTTCCATCCTTAGTTCATTTATATTGTTTCACTCTATTACACTGCGTGCTCATGTCCTGTTCTGGCATGTGCTAGGCAAATGTTCCTGCTGCTTACCTAAGTGCCAATATGGAGTGGTCTGAACAACAGGAAATACTTAGAGAACTAAATTATGAGTATTGTAAATACAAGCTGTTATATGTCACCCCAGAGAAAGTTGCTAAGTGAGTATTTGTTTATCTTATATGCTTGCAAACATCGTTCATTTGTATTCCCTCTATTACTTCAAAAACAGCATTTTATTGGTAGGTATAGTGTCAATGGAAAGGTACTGGAAACTAACAATTGTGTTATTTACAACTAGTATATGTGAATTGACTCTTTCAGTAGTCAAACATGATAAATATATCTTACAACTGATGTAAGTAATTTGTGTTGTCTGCTAATTAGGGAATGTGAATTGGCATTTATTTTTGGCTGTTGATTGTTGGAATCATTGAGAACACTATACTTTTTATTTAATTATCTTCTATTTCTTGACCTTGTCAGGTCATTTCTACCCACTAATATGAATACCCAGCCTTATAATAATTTCTGTTGCAATTGCAATTGAAACGATTGTTATAGTGTAAGTACTGAGTCTGCATAACTTTTTAAGAAGCCAATCTTTCTTGTCTGCAGAAGTGATGCTCTTTTACGGCAGTTGGAGAATTTAAATGCTCGTCAATTGCTTTCTAGGATTGTTATTGATGAAGCTCATTGTGTGAGTCAGTGGGGGCATGATTTCAGACCAGATTATCAGGTTGTGGCCTTAAAAAGTATTCAAGTTCATGGCAATGGGATTTTTCTTCTCGATTGGTACACCATTTTAACGTCAAGCTATTCTTTAAAATGCCCAGGCTCTTGGTATCTTGAAACAGAAGTTCCCAAATACTCCAGTTTTGGCTTTAACAGCTACTGCAACCGCTAGTGTAAAAGAAGATGTTGTGCAAGCTCTTGGTCTTGTTAACTGCATTGTTTTCCGGCAAAGTTTTAATCGCCCAAATTTACGGCAAGTTTTAAACAAAGAATCTGTTTTACAATGTTCAAATCATACTTTTTCTGAACTGTCATTTGAAGTTGAAATGATAATTCGTTCTGTGAATTGCAGGTATTCTGTTGTTCCCAAGACTAAGAAGTGTGTGGATGACATTGACAAGTTCATTAAAGAAAATCATTATGATGAAAGTGGAATAATTTATTGTCTCTCAAGAATGGACTGTGAAAAAGTTGCCGAAAGATTACAGGTTTGACCTTATTTTGGTCCATTTGTAGTTCAATGGAGTCTTATGCTCTTTTTATGTTTTCTTGACAGAAAGATAAAATGATGGTTCCATGTGCACTGATTCATTATGTGGATTCATTAACTTCTTTTCTGTATTTTATTCATGGAAAGTCTTGTATTGTTGCTTAATCATTTATTGCTTGAAGCTTCTTGAACATGTATCTACCGTTTGCTAATTGTGTAATCTATGACTTTTGATATGATGAAATTTGTTTACTTTCTTTCTGGTTAGTTTTGCTTGAGAGTGCATCTGTTGTTCAGGAATGTGGCCATAAAGCAGCATTTTACCATGGTAATATGGATCCTGCTCAGCGTGCCTTTGTTCAGAAGCAGTGGAGTAAAGATGAAATCAACGTTATATGTGCTACAGTGGCATTTGGAATGGGTACTTTAGTTTTTGCTGATTTCTGCCTTGATTAATAAAGGACACCATTACCAATATTGGAATTGGAATTCAGGTATCAACAAGCCAGATGTCCGCTTTGTAATCCATCACTCTCTCCCGAAGTCTATTGAAGGCTACCATCAGGTATCAGAGTGTTAGACTTTTGGAATTTAGCTATTCTTCTGCTTATTTCTTAGTAATGGTTTATGCGTGGGAAGCTTAGATTAAGGATTCTTTTAGCTTACTACGTCACTATGTTTCAGGAGTGTGGTCGAGCTGGTAGAGATGGTCAGCATTCATCTTGTGTGTTGTATTACAGTTACAGTGACTATGTAAGTTGGAGTAGTAAAACTTGTATCTACTTGATTCTTGTCAGTTCTAAATTTGGACAATGAGTAAGCATTGGAATGTGAACGGCCTGTAGGTCAAGTGGCATGTCCTCTCATCACTGTTATGAGGTGGAGGGTGATGTAGCCAGTTCAACACCTGTTTGGGTGCTTAACTCAATATTTCAATAAATAAATGCAAATAGAAAAAGGAAATAAAAGAGTTTGCATTTTGGTTGTTTAATTTGATCATCTTAAAAAAGTTGGGGAATAATATTTTTAAATTTTCTCTGCTTACATATATCTCTATAATTAGAGGTCGCACTTGGTGCGATGGCAAGTGCCTTCGCTCATGAGCGGTAGGTCTCGGGTTCGAGACTTGGGAGCAGCCTCTCCATAAATGGGGGTAAGGCTAGCCGACATTCACCTCTCCCAGACCCTGCGTAAAGCGGGAGCCTTGTGCACTAGGTACGACCTTTACATATATCTCTATAATTCTATTGCAGATTCGAGTAAAGCATATGATTAGTCAAGGAGTTATAGAGCAAAGCCCACTGACATCTGGATACAATCGTATCAATACTGCTAATTCTGGGAGAGTACTGGAAACGAATACCGAAAATCTTTTGCGCATGGTACTTGATTTTGGCTTCATGTGTAGTTTTTGCGGTTTTACTATTGCATACCTCTTGTTTCGTAAGACATGTACTAAATAAAATGATCTAAAAATCTGCAGGTCAGTTATTGTGAAAATGATGTTGATTGCCGACGACTTCTACAACTTATTCATTTTGGAGAAAACTTTGATTGTGCAACATGCAAAAAGACGTGTGATAATTGTTTGAAGATTAAAAGTTTCAGTGAGAAGGATGTCACTGAAATCGCAAAGCAACTGGTTTGTAACTATAATAATTTTTGGGAGATGTTGGCCAATGTTTCTATTGATGAATGTCAATTCCTTGCAACGGTTTGCAAATCCTTGCATTGTCTGTGTATTCACTTCTGCTACATGTGCTCAGGTTGAACTGGTGAAGTTAACAGGGCAGCAGTTTTCGTCATCTCATATTCTAGAAGTCTACAGGGGCTCCTTAAACCAATTTGTATGCTTTAATTTTAAGAAATGTACTGTCCTTTCAATCTTATTTTCATTCATCGATTGTAATGTTATGTTTGTATTGTTAGGTCAAGAAACACAGGCATCAGACTGTGAGACTGCATGGAGCAGGAAAACATCTAGCCAAGGGTGAAGCTTCTCGTGTATTACGTCATCTTGTTACCGAGGACCTTCTTGTTGAGGAAGTCAAGAAAAGTGATGTTTATGGATCTGTATCGTCAATACTAAAGGTACTTTTAATTCCTTCAGTTCACTTATGCTGGGTTTTTAATGAAGATCACTATCCTTGAAAAAAGCAAACTAGGCAAGAAAATACCACTTACTTTCATCGCTGCTTGTTAGTTTTTGTACGGTAATTACATGTGTCATTTTTTTCTTTCAGGTTAATGAACTGAAAGCGCGTGAACTTTTCTCTGGCAGGAAGACAATTTTAATAAGGTTTGGCTTTCTAGTCATACCACATTTTGGGTTTATTTTTGCTACTATTTTTGCTAGTTCCCTACGAGTATTGTACTAATATGTCAAAGATCTTTGTATTAGATGCTTAAGAACTTGTTTTTATCTCCATCGACCATGAATGTGCAGTTTGTCCAATGCTATTACTGTCAGCTGGGGATGGACTTGTGGTGGATCCACCTTGTTCAAAGGACCCCCACTCCCATTCAGCTTGATTGGTCTCCCCTAAACTGCGTATCAAAAATTTAGAATCTGTTTGGAACGCATTCAAGTTTTGTTATGCACCATACGTTTTCAAAATTTTGAATACGAATACACTTCACAGCTGATGGGATACTTGGTTTCTAGGTTCTAGTCAGGTTCACCAAAAATCCTTCAACTTTGGTGAACATGCCTACCTGCTTAGAATAATTGTCCATTAACAACTATGAATAACATCATCGATAGGATCTGCTTGCTGAAATCCCTCCGCGAAACCCATAAAACTAAATTTCTCTTATTTGCGTCATATTTAGTTAGCATTAGTCAACTAAAGCTTTTGCATGTTTCCTCTTTGTGGTTTCTGAGTCGCTAGTTATCAGTCTAGCATTCATCTTTTGTTACTAGAAAAGCTTTCACAAACTTGCATGATATCTTACACGGTTTATATTCATCACTGATTGCTAAGTGAGTCATGTTTGTACTCCAGCCATCGTAATAATATATTCTTTTTATCTAATCTTGATCTTATATTGTGCTATGATATGCTTCTTTTCACTTAAATGCTTTTAGTCTTATGAATGTCAATCGAAGTCTGTAAGTTTTTGTTCCTTTTCTGCCCTATAAAACTGCGCGCAACAATATTGTGACTGACATTTTAAATATATTGTAGATTCCCTTCCACCTTAAAAGCTTCCAAACAGAAAAACCCCGAAGCGATTTCAGCTAAAGGCTCACTGACATCTGGGATGCAGAGCCCTCCAATTACTGGCACTGAGCAACCTCAATCAAAAGGAGATTTGGTATGTTTATAGATATAGATGTATTATATAGGATCTGAAGCATTCGTCTGGTCTTATATATTCCTCTTCTTGGTTAAGTTTGTCTCCCGGCTAGGCAGAACTCAAAACCTTGACCTTTGCCTGAAACCTAAGCAGTAAACAGGAACAGATGCGCACATATTACACGCGTACACAGATACATATTTCAGATTTATATGTTGGCAAGACACTATTCTGCTTGCTGAAGTATCTGACTACCATGAGGCTAAGTCGACCTTCATCAATTGATTTGTTTATCTGAAATTTCATTACAGGTTCTATACACGAAAATATTTACTGCTTTGAAAATGCTTCGAACTAATATCATTAGAGAAGCTGGTGATGGGGTCATGGCACACCACATATTTCCGTAAGATTCGTACTCTTTTTCCTCATCCCAATAGAATAAATCTGTTTCATACCTGTTTGTTTTCAGAGGAAAGAAGGAAAAGTAATTTTGGAAAGTTGCTACTCTTTTGGAGTTAGGAATTTTTATCCCGGGGTGTCACTATATGTGTCTCCGTTTGTCCCTTCGATCTTTAAAGATGTTTCCTGATTTGTTGCCATTTCGAGTCAGGAATACAACTATTAAAAACATAAGCAGCAGAATGCCTAGAACAAAGGATGAACTCCTCGAGATAAATGGCGTTACCCAGTAAGTTTCAAGTTATATGGTTATATGCTGCTGCCTAAGAAACAATATACTGAACTTGTTTGGCTTAATGCAGAATTAAGGTGGCCAGGTACGGAGATCAAATACTTGAAACAATTGAAGCTGCCGTAAAGGAATACTTCAAAACAGATAAAAACAGCAGCGGTAGCAATGATAGCAACGATATAAAGAGGAAAAGAGATGGTAACAAAGATCGGAAGGAAATTTTTGAAGATGACGACTTCAGAAGCACCGATAGATCGAAGAAAAGGGCTCTAAAGACGCAGAGCAATACTATTGAGACCTTCCGTTATGTGGAGCCAGATTACAGTGAATTCATAGATGATGAATTAGACTTATCTGGTTATGACTTTGAAGCTAATGTTCCGGATATGAAAACCAATCAGAAGGGTGGCGGAAGAGTGCTGCCACAGTGGTCAACTCCTGGAAATGGGCGACATCGGTAGAATTTTATTCTTTTGCATCGAATTAGGATAATGTGGGCAGTGAGACTCCGACGACGACAATGCATTTCCGGCTGTTGGAACAAGGCTGTGTCCCATCAAACAGATCATGTCTTATGTGCAAAAGTTGTGTAAATTGTAACTCTTGTTGTCTTACTTATGTTTGTTGTCAAAATACTTGTGTACTTGAATATCAGGGCTAAGTTACAATGGTGTTCAACCATATGAAGTAGTATAATGTAGAAAATTACGAGGGTAGTGGAAGGTAAACGCCGCAGAAGGGTTTCCGCCATTGGTTCTTTATCGTGGTCCGACCCTTCTGCGCCATTGGTTCTTTATCGTGGCCTGAAGCTTTCGGACCACGGAGGTCGGAGACAGGAGCTTCTGAGAACAAAAATGAAGCGATGTACAACAGCCTAAAACGGATATCAGCTTACCTGATTTAAAGAGACTACCTAATACATACTTTTCAGCTTTCTTCCATTGATCTGGAATTTTTGTTCACGTTTGACGTAGAATCATATGTAAGTTGTATCATGGGCATTGATTTATAACTGTTCATTCAACTTTTGAGTAGCCAGAAGCGGAAAAATGATCTAGGTCTGAGATCGAAATCTTAACTTGTTACAAATGTATCTGACATTTAACCAAGTGCTTATATAACATCACTGATTGTTTTAACAATCAAACAGCCTGTCCTCTTTCGGTAACCTAATGCAAATGTTTGACGAAGAAAAAAGAGTAGACACAGAGGAAGTGTTTCATAATGGTGAAGTTCGAAGGAGAAGGCATAGACTTAGCTCCAACCTGTCAAGCCAAGTCTGTCAGCGAGATTGTACATAACGAGTTGATCCCAAACATGGCCGAAAAGGTGCTCCCCTCCAATAGCAAATGTAAGTGCCCATGACAAGAGAAGAGCAGTAAATACCGTGAATCCAACTGCTGATCTTAAAACATCTGCAATAAGAGAATTTTATCAAAAAACAACAGCCAAAAACAGAAGCTCCATAGTTAATATAAGTTCCAGAAAGTCAAACAATTACATATACTTCATGGCATGATGTAATAAGAAGCTCAAATTTTACACCGCAAACAACCTAGCACATCTATTCAGTCATTGAGCACTTATATCTTATATGAAAACACCCGAAACACTTGCTTTAAAAACAACTGATCGGTAGCAACAACCAAACACATCTATTTGAAAACATCATGTCAGTACCATCTAGGCAGGATAAAAGAATTGGGGAGGTCAAATCATCAAGAGTATTTTCTTTTAAGTCCTATTAACATCAACTATTTAAATATTTTTCAGTTACTCTTGAACAATCACGGCAAAAGGAAATTTGCAATTGAATGGTTTCGTGTAGCTAGATGGGAGTATGTCAAGAATCAAATAACAAAGATGTAATAGCGATTTAATTTATACAACAACAACAACAACAACAACAACAACAAAGCCTTTTCCCACTAAGTGGGGTCGGCTATATGAATCCTAGAACGCCAATGCGCTCGGTTTTGTGTCATGTCCTCCGTTAGATCCAAGTACTCTAAGTCTTTTCTTAGAGTCTCTTCCAAAGTTTTCCTAGGTCTTCCTCTACCCCTTTGGCCCTGAACCTCTGTCCCGTAGTCACATCTTCGAACCGGAGCGTCAGTCGGCCTTCTTTGCACATGTCCAAATCATCGGAGCCGATTTTCTCTCATCTTTCCTACAATTTCGGCTACTCCTACTTTACCTCGGATATCCTCATTCCCAATCTTATCCTTTCTCGTGTGCCCACACACATCCCACGAAGCATCCTCATCTCCGCTACACCCATTTTTGTGTACGTGTTGATGCTTCACCGCCCAACATTCTGTGCCATACAACATCGCTGGCCTTATTGCCGTCCTATAAAATTTTCCCTTGAGCTTCAGTGGCCTACGACGGTCACACAACACGCCGGATGCACTCTTACACTTCATCCATCCAGCTCGTATTCTATGGTTGAGATCTCCATCTAATTCTCCGTTCTCTTGCAAGATAGATCCTAGGTAGCGAAAACGGTCGCTTTTTGTGATCTTCGCTAGATTGCTCCGGTCATTAGTGTGGATAAGTATATAAATGGATAGAGATAGGAAAGCAAACACAAGATGTACGTGGTTCACCCAGATTGGCTACGTCCACGGAATAGAAGAGTTCTCATTAATTGTGAAGGGTTTACACAAGTACATAGGTTCAAGCTCTCCTTTAGTGAGTACAAGTGAATGATTTAGTACAAATGACATTAGGAAATATTGTGGGAGAATGATCTCGTAATCACGAAACTTCTAAGTATCGGAGTGTGGTGTCGTCTTGACTTGCCTTATCTGTCTCATAGGTAGATGTGGCATCTTCTCTGGAAGTACTCTTCCTCCATCCAGGGGTGGTATCTTTAACTGGTGGAGATGCACAAGGTAATGTATCAATTTCACTTGAAGCTTACTTGTAGTTTCAGGCTTGGTCAAGCGCGATACAAACCATGTAGTAGGAGTCCCCCAAGTCGCCGAGCTAGGGGGTCTGCTGAAAGAGGTGACAGACAAGGTAAGCAATCAGAGCTCCGACTGATTGTTCACCTTCTCCCCATCTTGCAGCAGCATGAAGGATAAAGAGAAGAAAAATGAGAAGAGATGATATGAGATACTTTTGCTTTTGAAGAAGTAACTTTCCACAGGCTTATTCTTGAACTGAGCTGGAGGGTTTTCTGGTTTCCTCCAGAGTATAAGGCCGACTGAAGAATTTGAGGGTCAAAACAAGTCCATCAAATCTAGAGTACGTTCCACCCTGCTGATATGGGATACTTTTGCTTTTGACAGAGTAATGGATGTATCGGCACGTGTGCTGTTACGCTTGTCTCCACATGCTTCCTTGTATCCTTCGCACTTGCCCTATCTGTTCCTCAAGCAGATGCGGAATCTTCCCTGGAAACATAAGATGTTGAAGATGAGTACTCGAGAGCAATGCCAGGTAAGTAATCAGGTAAGGGGTTCCAGGCAGTCAGTTCCTGGCTGGAAGCTTGATTCCAAGTGCTGACTGATTGCTCTCTTTCTCCTTGTCTTGCAGGTAAAAACAAGGCCAAAGGAAAAGACAGGGAAAAAGCATGATATGGGATACTCTTGCTTTTAACCCTGATGATATGAGATATTCTTGCTCTAGTATAGCTTGTTTGCAGAGGTATTATCGGGGGGGAAAGAAAGCTGAATATTTCGAAAGGCTTCGTTGGGAGTGCCCTCTCAGATATGATGAAAGGGTTGAGCATTTTTGCAGGTCTGCCTGTCCGTTGGGGATGGAGGTCGACATATATAGGAGTCTCCCTAACAACAAGTAGTAATGCTATTCCTTTACCCTGCTTGGTCATAGCACGGTAGTGGGAGCTGCCAGTTTCACATGTTTTAACTCTGTCAGAGCACTTTGAAAAAAGTGGTCTGTGGTATCTGGCTCTCGAGATTCGGAGAACGATGCCTTTTCGATTTTTGAGAAAGCAATCATGCTGGGGGTCTGGCTCTCGAGATTCGGAGAGCAGTGTCTCTTCGATTTTTGAGGAAGTAATCATGTTGGGAGTCTGGCTCTCGAGATTCGGAGGGCGGTGCCTCTTCGATTTTGGAGCAAGCAATCCTGTTGGGAGTGTTGTCTCGAATGTGAGTAAAGGTTGGGCATGTTTGCTAGTCTACCTTGCCACGAAGCACAAAGGTTGACACACAGGGACTTTCCAATTATCCAGCAATGGTACTGTTCCTTTACCCTCTCTTCGATTTTGAGAAAGTAGTCATGTTGGGAGTCTGGCTCTCGAGATTCGGAGGACGGTGCCTCTTCGATTTTGGAGCAAGCAATCTTGTTGGGAGTGTTTTCTCGAATGTGAGTAAAGGTTGGGCATGTTTGCTAGTCTACCTTGCCTTGCCACGAAGCACAGAGGTTGACACACAGGGACTTTCCAATTATCCAGCAGTGGTACTGTTCCTTTACCCTTGTGGGTAATAATATGGTAGCTAGACCTTCAAAATTTATGTGTCTAAACTTTGTTAGTGCTGTTTCTTTTGCTATTCTTTTACCTTTCTTGGTCAGAGCGATGTAGTGGGAGCTGCAAGCTTCACGTGCTCAACTTTGGCAGAGAACTTTGGCAAAGTTATCTGTGGTACCCATGAGCTATTGTTGCGTGTGGGAAGTGGGTGATTGAACAGTAAGATTCATGTGCTTTCTACTTCACCAGAAGTCTTCGACAGAATGCCCATAATTTCTGCAAAGCTGAGTGTGCGTGTGACAGGTGCTGACAAGGCTAGAAAAGTAGGTGCCTCTTCGATTTCTGAGATCGGCCCTCGTGGTCTCTGAGCAGCCCAGCTTTTGAGAAAGCGAGCGCCTCTTCGATTGATTCGGAGAACGATGCCTCATCGATTTTTGAGAAAGCAATCATGCTGGGGGTCTGGCTCTCGAAGATTCGGGGAGCAGTGTCTCTTCGATTTTTGAGAAAGTAATCATGTTGGGAGTCTGGCTCTCGAGATTCGGAGGGCGGTGCCTCTTCGATTTTGGAGCAAGCAATCTTGTTGGGAGTGTTTTCTCGAATGTGAGTAAAGGTTGGGCATGTTTGCTAGTCTACCTTGCCACGAAGCACAGAGGTTGACACACAGGGACTTTCCAATTATCCAGCAATGGTACTGTTCCTTTACCCTCTCTTCGATTTTTAAGAAAGTAGTCATGTTGGGAGTCTGGCTCTCGAGATTCGGAGGACGGTGCCTCTTCGATTTTGGAGCAAGCAATCTTATTGGGAGTGTTTTCTCGAATGTGAGTAAAGGTTGGGCATGTTTGCTAGTCTACCTTGCCACGAAGCACAGAGGTTGACACACAGGGACTTTCCAATTATCCAGCAGTGGTACTGTTCCTTTACCCTTGTGGGTAATAATATGGTAGCTAGACCTTCAAAATTTATGGGTCTAAACTTTGTTAGTGCTGTTTCTTTGCTATTCTTTTACCCTTCTTGGTCAGAGCGATGTAGTGGGAGCTGCAAGCTTCACGTGCTCAACTTTGGCAGAGAACTTTGGCAAAGTTATCTGTGGTACCCATGAGCTATTGTTGCGTGTGGGAAGTGGGTGATTGAACAGTAAGATTCATGTGTTTTCTACTTCCCCAGAAGTCTTCGACAGAATGCCCATAATTTCCGCAAAGCTGAGTGTGCGTGTGACAGGGTGCTGACAAGGCTGGAAAAGTAGGTGCC